GCTACAGCAAAATTCATGGACCTTCTTGGCAAGCTAAACATGATTGACATCCATGCTTAGCTTGAGGGGGAGTGTTAGGTTGAGGGGTTTTATGTATTGATGGTTCGGTTGATAAGTGTTCTTATTAGTCTGTATTTGTGTTTAAGTTGTTATGTACTGGGCCTAAGTTTATTTGTTGTTTTAAGTAGTCTGGGTGTCCCATCACTAATCAAGGGCATTCCAGACATTTCCTGTAACATTGTACTATAGTCTAATATAAATAATAGTCCTGTCGACTGGGTTATTCAGTTCGACATTATCAGCACCTCTTGGTCTTCTTCTCTCTTCTACTTCTTTGACTGCAACATTTCAGCTTTCAGAAGACGCATATAGAAGGTATTTGCAAAGAGGGATTCCCTTCACCTACCTATGTTAGTGATACTTGTTTTTCTCTTCCCTGCCTTCCCTTTTTCCTTTTATGGAAACTTCTCTTCTCTCTTTACTCTAGCTTTTCTTGAGACTTCTCTATGAGTGGTATACTCTAAGGCACAACTTTCTCCAAAGAGACATCCAGTTTCCCTCTAAAGACCATAAATAGGGAGTGGGGTAGTTATGTAATTACCCCCTCCCCCTAGGAATACACAAAGAGAGAGAATCTTCTTTTCCGGAGCATATCCAAAGTGTTAATCTTCCCGTGACACACTTCCCAACAAAAAGCCCCTATTTTAAGAGGAATGGGTCTACATAAAACTTCCCTAAACGGAAAAGGAACAGGAATAAAGGTACAAAGAGACAAACAAAGAGGCACAAGAGAAGAAACCATTGGCATGGGGAGTCCAAATGCATTTAACCAGCAAAGAGGGGTCCAAACACACACCATCAAGAAGCTGTGATAACCTGTCAAAAGAGACCAATTCATCATCCCTCAGCCCTCTTCAGAAACCAAAATCCCAATTATAACAAAATAAAGAAGAGATACAAAAGAAAACCCTACTTTGAAAGTGTTTCAATAACAAACAGAAGACAAAATTAGTTGATCAAGTCAGATGAAATCATCCTTGTGGTTGAAATCCTAGGCCTGGAGTCACCCAAACTAGATCAAATCCACCCTTTTGTGATAAGTAGTTCTAATCAGATTTCATTAATCGAAGGAGGTTCCCCAACTTTCCAAACTTTTGAAAAGAGGGAATAACTATAGATACACAGCCTAAAAGACTGACAGACTGATTCTTTTAAAATGAAATAAAAAGCAGTTAAATATTCAGCACCAGACCTGGTGTTTCCCATTACAGTTAATCTTTTGTTACCGTTGCCCTTCTTAAGGTATGCATCACCACTCCACCATCCTCGATTTTATACAAGTTCTTCTCATGGGAAGATCTTAAGTTCAAAGGGATTTAAGGCAGGGAATCCCCTCTCCATCTCCTTTCTATTCACATCACCGAGTATCTAAGTAGATTAACAAAGAGAGCAGAAGAGGGTGGCTACCTAGATTCTAGAAGGATTTCAGGGGAGACCTAACCAAAAGCCTATTGATCTACTACAGTTTGCCAATGATACACTACGTTTTTGCAAGGCATCAGCAGACCAAATGCTAAGCCTTAAATGCATTCTGAGATGGCTTGAGGCAGTTTCCAGGCTTCGTATAGACATGGCCAAGAGTGAAATAATGATGGTTGGGCCATTGGGGAGTTACCTTCAGATGAACATCCAGCAGAAATATTGGAGTGCAAAATAGGCACCCTTCCCGTAAAGTACCTTGGTCTGCCATTAGGAAAATGCAACTCTAAAGCAGTCTAGAACCCAATTGTAAGGTTTATATAGACCTCCTGGAAAACAAGATATCTATCCAAGGATGCCAAACTCACAATAATAAAAAAGTGTTCTGTCATCCCTCCCAATTTATTATCTATCCCTGTTACACATCCCTGCAGCAGTGGCTAAAAAGTTTTTAACAAAAATGAGGAACCTTTTATGAGCTGGATTGAAAGATGAATTTAAATACCTTTATTTGATAAGGAACAGAAAATTTCATTAGAAAAAACTCCTAGCTGCCCTAGGAAAAAGGAAGGAGGCCCAAAATGTATACAAAGCCAGCTTCAAAAGGGAAAATAAAAACAAAACAACTATAATTTAGAATTACAGATTAAACCTAGCCCAGGAAATCCCCAAACCAACTGACCCCTGACAACACCTACTTTAGCTAATGCATTAGCAATTGTATTTGCACTTCTAGGTATCCATTTGAATGAGATGTTTAAGGTGGCACCTATGAATTGTGCATTTCTAACTAGATGCCTAAATCTCCAAGGAACTTCCTCTTGCTTCTTCATCCACAAAATTATGGTTTGGCAGTCCCCCTCCTAATCCACCCCACTAAATACATTCACTTTCAAAATATTTAAACCCTGAAGAAGGGCCAATAGTTCTGCCCATAAAGATATTCCTTGTTCCACGTGGCCTGAGAAACTGCCTAGAATGTCACTGTTGTGGTCTCTTGTTACTCCCCCAATTCCGAAAGCACCCGGGTTCCCAACACTGTAGATATCAAAGTTGAATTTCATCTTACCAAAGACTGGAGCTGCCCACTCTTTTATTTGATGTTGAATCTTGGATTAGAATCCAGCCACTATTTGCCATCCTCTGAACAGATCATTAAGAGAGACTTTTAAATCTTCACTCACCATAGCCCAATAAGCCACCCTAACCATAGACAAGTTAATTACTGATTCTACCACTATGTACTTGTCTTCAAAGATTCTTGCATTTATTTCACTCCACAAACTCCAAAGCACTGCTGCACACACACAATGTCATAGGATTTTCTGTCTTTGACGCTTGCAAATCATTATATTTGAATTGAACAGCCCCATAACATCTGTAGGAGCTGTCCGGTTACAACCAGCTAACTTGAAGTAATTAATGATTTCACATCTGTGAGGCAAAGTGACATTGCAATAGAACATGGTTAGTGTCATCCCCATTCCTCAAGCAAAGGACACACACATGAGGGACAATGCACCATTTGGTGAAATGGTAGCAAATATGCCAATCAAAAAACAGTGGTAGTTTGGGTATCAGAAACTTAAGGTTGGCAAACACAACTCTCTTAGCTAAATGGCTATGGAGATTTAATCAGGAGCCAAAAATCTAAATGACTGGGAAATCCAAGATTTCATTAAGCTGTGCTATAAAAGGTACAGCAAGTTTCTCTTTGTGGGAACCAGATGGACAGAAAAGTATGGGCTTGAGAATAGTCACGTTGATTCTCAGTCAAATCTATGTTCAAGAAATTAAGTTCTGAACCCTCAGGATCTTTCCCCCTCTTCAAAAATCAGGGTTCATCCATTCCCTCTAAAGTAGGATTCCTAGCATGGCCTGCAGCTCTAGAAAGAAATCTAACAGGTGATAGCTTGATGAAAAGGAGCTGCAACTAAAATGATCCTAGATGTATTCTGTGCTTAGATGAACAGGAATCCATGAATCACCTCTTCTTGCATTGTAAGTTCACAACCAAGTTTTGGTTGGCTATTCTACCATGTTTTGGGGTTCATAGGTGTCTTCCTGAAACAGTAATTGCACTATCCAATGGCTGGTCTATTGGGGGCTCAGTCAAAGGGTAAGCTACCCTGGGATACATGTCCTGGTAACATGTGTCATATAGTGAGAAAGAAGCAATCATATTTTTGTAAACAAATTCTGCACAGAAGATGAAGTGCTAAGCAGACTAAAAGGAATCTTGTGCCCATGGCTAGCAGTTCAGAAACCTTTCTAGGGGATTTCGTACAGTTCCTTTATTCTATACTGAAATTCTTTCGGAAACCAATTTTCAAATTTCTATTAATCTGTGAATTCCCACCTTACAGATGGGCTATTTTTTCCTCATAAATTAGTAATGCAATACTTTACTTGGTCAAATAAAAAAATAAAACAGATCTGATTAGAACCATTCGAGCTTTCAAACAAGATATATAAACAGGTTACAGACAGTGAAGGGAACAGCACTGCCAGTAAAAGGATACAAATTGAAATATACAAAATGATGAGAACCTGCCTACACAGCTTTCCACATGCAGAAGACAGAGCCTGGATCGCATGGGCATACATTTTCCTCGTATTAGAAACCTTGAATTTGGAGAATTCCCCCCGCGCAACTCGCAAGAACTCTTTCCACAACTTGGAACTGCCGGAATGCTGCATGAGTATCTTCTCCCATCTTTCAATAAGAACTTCAGTGCTGTCCCTGCTCTGATAAGCCTTCAGAAGACAAAGCAGAAGCTCTTCATTATCCGGGTTTAGCTCAGTAGCCTTCTCCAGTATGCTTATCTTCTTCTCAAGTGTCTGCAAGCGAGCCGCTTTCTGAGGCTGCCTGCTTGCAATCTTGTCCTGAAACTCAGCAAAGGCTAACCAGATTTTCTCATCGTGTGGGGCTTCCCTTGACATCTTATTGAACTCCTTTGTTTTACGTAACACTTCATCTTCCCAGGATTCTTCATTCGCCGTTACATTTTTCGGTGCCTCCACCTCAACACTTTCGGTAAAAGGAATGAATTCCCCAGCAATATTCAAAGACCTGTCAAGAGCAACAACTCGAACACGCTTGAAGCCCTTATGACGTTCCAAAGCTGAGTATTTCGAAGACCAGTAGCGACCTTCCGATCTTAGTTTACCGTCCAATGCATCAATATCTTCATCTGCATTCGAAAAAGGACCCCAGTTTCTCCCACGATACAAAACTCGAAAATTAGACCCAGATGAGCTTGATCGATTCTGAAGCTTGTAACGAGCTACATCCATTCTGCATCATACCAGACCCAATTATAGGTATGAATGCTTCAAAAATTAAAAACCCTAAAATCGGGGAATAGCAACTTAATAGCAATAAAAGAACCCATTACCTGTAAAGGCATCCAAAGACCAAATTATCACGATCTCCTCGAGAATCGAAGTAATAGTCCTTGGCAGGTTTCGTGTCAGACCCCTCCCAAGCTCGAACACCGGATTTTCTAGACGCGTAATCATCGCCCTCCCTCCTTGCTGCATCCTGCGACCTCTTTCTCTTCCGTTTCTTCTTCTTCCTACTTCTCTTTTCGCGCTTGGAGTCGGAATCGTGGTCTCGGTCCGACGCAGAAGATTCCAGCAAATCGTATGAAGGCGGTGCCTTCGCCTGAGGGGGTTCCTGGGCATGGCCTTCTCCTCCTTCTTCTTCCTCCCCTACTGGGTAGGTTATGTCGTATCGAGAAGCGACTGATTCACGAATGACAGAGAGGTCTGTAGTGAAGCTGGTGTTCTGGAGCCACTGAGGGACGTCGGAGCTGCTCTTTTGAGAGGAATCCGAGGCAGGGAAGATAGGAAAGAGGGATGTATTTGGTTCTGCCGAGTCTCCCGCTCCCTCCATTTTCAGTCCCCAAGCGAAAAACCCGAAGGAAATGAAGCCTCCTCAGACTATGCCACGACTATATCTATTGGAGGCAAAAAAAATTAGCTAAATTTATTAACTACCCTTATGGCTTTGCTAATTGACTAACACTATCTTACTGTTTCCAACAATTGACTAGTTATACTCTTCTGGGATCCCGGGTCCCTCTTGTTTTTCATTCTAAAATACTGTTTGCCCGTAAATAAACGCAAGAAAATGTGAATCATTAGAAAATATTCCCTTTTTTCATCCTTTTGTTCAATTTGTATATATAAATAATATATTTTTTTAATCTCAAATTTACCCTACCGTCTTCTTCCTTTCAATAAGAAACCGAACTGGTTCGGTCTTTAAAGGAACCCAAATCTGAGTATTGCCTCCGTCAAGGGTTGCATGTTTTGTTGCAAAGATCCCTCCTCTACGTCTCCCTCTTTTCATCGTTGACAATGCCATGATGCCATGGGTTCTAGGGGTGAAGAGAAGAAGAAGAGAAAGGGTCTATTCACGCAAGAGTTGTAGGTTTTGTTGCAAAGATCCCCCCTCTCCGTCTCTCTCTTTTCGTCGCTGACGATGCCATGGGTTGCAAGGGTTGCGGGGTCAGAAAAACCAGAGCACGAGACGCAAAACTATTATCTTTTTCTCTGAAGTCTGAGCAATCCCAAGCAAACTGGGCTCGATGAGGGTTGTGCAAGGATTCTTGGGCGGTATTCATTGGTTTGGACTTGGAATTCGAGTAACAGCAGTTGTATGGACCCGAAGGAACCCAGATATGAGATCTGAGAGATAATCATATATGAGATATGGTCATTATCCGCTGTTCCGACAGTTCCAACGGATCCGGTAGTTCCAACGAAGAAAATGAGAATGAGAAGGAGAGATTCGAGTAATCTATAGTTAAAGGTAAAATAGTCTTTTTCACATCACCGTTGATTAATGTTAATGACTAAGAAGGATTAATCAATTGTCATAAACAATAAGGGTAGGATAAGTCCATTTTCAAATAGTAGAAGTACACTTAGTAAATTAGTTAAACCATAAGAATAGTTTAAGAAATTTATCCCAAAAAAAAATAATATCTATTGGAGGCGATGAGTGTTTGGATTTGAGGTTATGATAAACACCACCCCTGAAACGGCCATGTTTTCGTATTTTTATGTTCGGTAATGGTAATTAGTAGGCCCCGTAAACGGAAAAATCACACACCTGTTTATGGGTCAGGCTTGAACTTGGCTTTTGCCAAATTTTAATGGGCCCAGCCCGTATCTTATAGCCCGAGCCAATGTAAGCAGTGAGCACGGCCTGTCAACAATTAATGATTTTTTATAACATTTTTGAGAATGCCATGTTACAATGAGAGTGGGGTAAAATAGTAATTGCACTTATTTTCTTTTGACCAAAAAGTTAAATATGGGCACGAATGGAGTTAAAGTACCCAGCCTAAAAACACTCTAACAGCCAAAGTTAAGTCGTGAACAAGTATTTGATAATTTGAAAGGTATCAACGGTTATTTTTTATCGAGTTCAAAGTATAGAAAGGCTTAAATCAAAGCAAATGATAATGTTTATGAGGTTGAATTGCAGGAAATCAAAGAAGATGACCATAATGAAAATGGGAGGAAGACGTAGGAAATGAAGAAGTTGGGGAAGGAGATGATGAAGAGGAGGATGACATGGAGGAAGACTGGATGGAGCAACTCCAAAATGAGATTGTATAACCAAATGAAGAAATGAAGATTAAGAAGAACCAGCATGGGGAAGACTATGACCATGATCGTGGGTCTTCTTGGATGGGACAATATCGGTCCAAACAGCACCAAGGTGAACAATTAAACAACTTAGCTGGAACGTTAGGGGTGCAGGCAGACCGCAACTCCAAATACAAGTTTTTGATATGAATTGCATTCATAAGTTTGGTGTTATTTTTTTTTTTATGGAAACTAGAGTCAATCCAGTTCGTGCAAGAAAGATAGTGAAATCCTTGAAGTCTGAAAACTATTTTCTAGTTGATTTTGTTGGGGGTCTTTGGATTTTATGGGAAAAAAATTATGTAATCTCCATATAATATTTTCTAATGACAGACTTGTTCATGTTAACATAACTGATTTAACTTCAAACAAATATTGGATGTGTACTTTTGTTTATGCACCCCCTAATAAATCTGAACAAAGGGCTCCCTGGGAATGGATTAAAGACATTTCATAATCAATAACTGAGCCTTGGTGCCTTGTTGGTGATTTCAATTCTTTCAAGACAAGTGATAATAAGAAAGGAGGGAGAGAGGTCATGGCAAGCCAAACAAGGGACTTCAACCAGCTCCTTAATTATTGTAACCTTATGGAGTTGGAAATGAAGGATCTCCAATTCACATGAAAAAATAAATTCACTTGGGAGCGTTTGGACTAGACTCTTGTTAACGATAATTGGAGGAGCCTTTTCCCAAATAGCACTATGCAAAATTTGCCATTCCTTTCCTCGGACCACACCCCCTCATCCTTTATACGAACCCTCTCTCAATATAAAGGTCTGAGGCCCTTTAGATTCGAACAGATATGGTGCTTCGATCCGAGTGTGCAAGAGGTCATATCTAAATCTTGGAACGTTGAATGCTCTGGATCCAAAGCAATCCAAAGAGAAGAAATAGAGCGGTGACAATGCTAAAAATTTGAAATGAAAAACACTTTGGAAATATTTTCAAGAAAAAATAAAACATTTTAAATTCTCTTTAAGATGTCAGAAAACGTTTGTTGGATGAAAATAATAATAGATCTTTGCAGAACTTGGAAGGTGCCTTGCAAAAACATCTAAATAATATCCTTACTGAAGAGCAAGTGTATTGGGCACAAAAATCAAGAATCGAGTGGGTTAAACTTGGGGATAAAAACAATAAGTGTTTCCATACTTCAGCAACTATAAGAAAATTTAGAAACATAATTACTGCTATTAAAAATGACGAGGGTGAAAGAATTGAAGATCAAGAGGGAATATTATGTGTCTTTTATGAGAAATTCAAACAGAATGGACAAGAGGAATAGATGATTTTATTAAGGAGATCAATAAATGTATAACTGAGAATCAAAATAAATCAATTACTAGGAAGGTCACTGATGAGGAAATTGTTGAAGCTCCTAAATCAATCAAAGATCTTAAAGCTCCTAGTCCAGATGGTCTTAATACCCTATTTTTCAAAAACTTTTAGGACATCACAAAAGATTCCGTTTATAAAACTATTAAGGCTTTCTTCCATTATGGGAAATTATGCCGAATTCTGAAAAAAACTTTTATCACACTCATTCCAAAAAAATGGGAACACTGAAAATGTTAACAACTATAGGCCCATAAGTTTATGCAATGTCATTTACAAAATTATTTCAAAAATCCTTGTTAATAGAATTAAGCCTTTTTTGGATAATATTATATCCACATACCAAAGTGCCTTTGTGCCTAACAGGCAGATTAATGACAATATTCTTATCGCTCATGAAATGTTGCATACAATGAGAAAGAAGAAAGGAAAAACCGATATACTTGCCTACAAAATTGATATGGAAAAAGCTTATGATAGAATATAATAGGATTTCATTGAGAAAGTCTTAAGAAAAGTTGGATTTCATGAGAAATGGATTACCTGGTTTATGAAATGTATAAAAAAGGTATCTTATCAAATTTTAATAAATGGTAGCCCCTTTATGAAATTTACCCCTTCTAGAGGGATCAGACAAGGAGATCCTCTTTCTCCCTGTATCATTGTTATTTGCGTAGAAGCATTAGCAAAGAAACTTAAAAAAGAATCTCTATGTAAAAAAAAGCCCAATTGGTTGTAAGGTTGCCAAAGGAAGTCTAAAAATTCCAATTTTACAGTTTGCAAACGATTGTATGATATTCTCTAAGACCTCGATTACAGGATGTTTAAAAATAAAAGACATTCTCACTAATTTTGCTGTGGCATCTGGCCAATGCCCAAAATTTTCAAAATCTACACTCCAATTCTCAAAAAAACACGCCAACGAGATTCCAAAAAATCATAGCAAAAATTCTGAAGATCCCAATTCAAGCAAAGTTTGATATTTATTTGGGAGCCCCCATAATAAATGGTAGAGTTTCAAATAGAACATTCTTGAATCTTAAGGAAAAGGTTAATAACAAACTAGTAAGCTAAAAAAAAAAAAAAAAAAAAACGCTTTATCCTTGACAGGTAGAATGGCCCTTCTGAATGCTACAGCGAATACAATGCCGCAATTTCTCATGAGTTCTTTCAAGCTTCCCCAAAATGTCATTGATGAAATTGATAAAAGCCAAAGGAACTTCTTATGGACAAATTCTAGTGAAAAAAAACCAGTTCATTTAATTGGTTGGAACAAGGTGTGTACCCCAAAATGTTGGGTTCTTTGGGGCTAAAAAACCTCCATTGGGTTAATGAAGCCAACTTAGCAAAGTTGCGTTGAAAAATATTAGTTAACAATGATAACCTTTGGGTTAAAATTATTAAAATAAAGTATCTTTAGAAGGAGGACTTTTGGAATGTGAAGGAAAAGAAAGGTATATCATGGGCTTGGAGAGGTATCCTTAAGGGGAGAGATCTCCTTAAAAAAGTGTTTGGTTGGGAAATAAACAAGGGCAAATCTATCAAGGGTTAGGCTTTCATGTGTGAAAACCGAAACCGAAACCGAACCGAGTTATCTGAAAAAATATAGATATTTTAGTTTTAAATAATAAATATATCTGAAAAAAAATTCTGAAATATATCATATATACATTTTCAGAAATTAGAAAATATATATCCCGATATATTTGTATATATGTTTTGATTTTAAATAAAGATTTCAGTTTTAAATATATTTCCATAAAATATATTCTAAAATATTATATATAATATTAGCACTTTGAGTTCATTTGCATTGTACAAGCTTGGAGTAGGTTGAAACCCAGATTGACCAAGTCAGTTTTACTTAATAGATAGTCGGTTCTGGTTTAATCTATAGGCAACTCGATTAGGTCGGGTCAGTTGAAAAAATACTAGTAAACCGACCCAACCTGACCCGTGAACCGCCCTAATAATACTATTTCCAAGGTTTTTAAAACTGAACTGGACAACGAACCAATAAGGGCTATGGTTCTTGGGTCAATGGTCCAATCGTTCAAACATAATGAACAATCCGTTTTGATAAAAAAAAAAATCAAAATCGTTGAACGGTTCAACCACCCGAGTCAGCGGGTTGCTGATCAAATCAACATTTTTTGGCAAATTTTCAATTTTGGGGAAAAACGGAACCGGTCACCTGACTGGTTCTCGGTTTTTCCTGTCTGGTTTTGAAAACGATGACTATTTCCTCTGATATATTGTATTAAACCACTAAGTTGAGTTAATGATTTTTCCAAAAGGCGTCGAAAAAATTTCACGACTATTGCCAAGTCATGGACACTTGGTTATTTACTTAAGACCTTAGACACAAGTAACAATATGGGAATTGAAATTTGCTACTTGCTAGACTAGCTGGGGCAAAAACCACTAGGGGAGATTGCTGACCACTAATTCATTGACCCAAGCTTGAAGAGTGAGATAGGCTGTCTAAAGCACTTTCTCAGTGGCCTCTTTGTTCTATTAAAACTCAACAGTAAGGGCATGAAAATCGTTTAAAAGAAAATAAGCAAATATGTCGGAATGATGTG